ACAACTCTATTCAGCAAGAGAAACTCAATCAACAGCACCATCTTTGAACATCTGAAGTTCTGGCCTGCTACCTAGCTATCTCCTGCCCACCCTGCCATCCAGTCTACACCTTCTAATCTACTTCCTCATTCTAGTCCCTGCATATATTCTTGTCCCCTGTCCTCTCTGGACCTGTGTTGACTGCTGTCGGTGCTTTCACAAAACACCCATGCTCTTCTCTCATGGGGAACCCGTTAGTTTTCACTGCTCACCACAGCACTGGTCCTCAACCTCACCAGAACCTACCACCAGCAGGGGTATACCAGATCCATGAGAGCAGCACCTCTAGGAACAGGGCTCCTAGGCCTATTTGCAAAGATCCCCAGGAAATTCCAGGGTGAGGGTCTGAGTTCATTGATATTGAAGAAAAAGCTTTATGACAACAAATCAATAGTAAACAACAAAGTATTTGGTGTCTAGTCATCATGAAATTAGAAGAACAAAAGATAGCTTTTGTTTAAATGGAGAAATTCAAGCAATTAGTTCAAATAATTCTGCCTAAAACAAGTCTTTCTTTGAAACCGTTATCTGTACATGTATTCTCAGCTGTTGAATCCAGCAAGAAAGATTGTCTTAGTGGGCTGTGATTTACAAGCCTGAGGACTCCTCTTGTCCCATTACCTCTGCACTCTAACTCAACTGCATATGCAGACACTGACCTCACCTAATAAAAGTGATTCAGACGAGCATATGCCAGCATTTAGGTTACGCCCTATATAGCTGCAAATCTGACACAGTTGCAAGTCCAAAGCGAAAATATTTATTGTTTGCTCTGTAACACAATAGGCATTTGATGTGAAGGCAAAATGTTGGGTGTTTCCATTTAAGCACAAAATAATCTCAACCAGCAGTTATAAAGAACAAACATACACATATAAACATAAATCTGGATCATGAAAATAATTACAATAGCACCTTTGCCCTTATAAATTGTCGTATTTGTAGCTACAGTAATCATGCTCCTGGCCTTGCTACTCAAACCTGTAGAAAAGCCATTCGACTGTACACAGATGCAGAAATAATACAGGAGGGAGATGCAAAAGAGATGTGTTTGTGGTTGTGTGCTCTACATAACATAATCTGTACAGCAGCACTTAATCAACAGTGAAATGATATCTTAGGTTCCCAATTTTTAATGGAAAGAATGAGAAGATATTGATTTTCCCTTAAATCTATAATGTATGACACTAAAATAAATACGGATTTTTTTTTCAAACTGCATGTTATGTAACCCAAACTCTGCCTGCTCCAACAGGGACATGTGGACAGTGTTTTTAATAAGAAAGCCTCAAATATAGTGATAGTTATGGGTCCTTGATATCCACCAGATGACCTTGTGGTTGATGTCTGTTAAGCAGAAATAAGCAATATAAATTGCTTCCAAATGACATTATAAAAAGTAACAATGTGAAAATGCATGTGTTCTTGACAGTATCAAGACTAGAATTTATGCTCAGGTTACCAAAGGCTAAAGTTGCAATGACCTATGTTATAATTTAATCTCAAACCCACGTTCACTGACCATTTATCTGAGGGCATCTTGAATAAGTAAAGCTACCTGGGACTAGAAAGGTTGCCTAGAACACAAAAGTTTGCATCCCTAAATATTTTGTTTCCATAGTATTTATTTACTAACACACTTGGGAGCTGAAGAGTTCCATATGTAAGAGAAAAAATATTGAAAGCATGAAGATGATAGACATTTCTAAATTTTTTAGCTGCGAATATTGCATGTTTCATATTGCCTGCCAACTTGAAGACTGACATATTTGTCAAATTCTTACTATATATCAAGTTATTGTTTTGAATACTGCCACAAACTAAAGGAAAAATCATTGCTAAAATTGTTGCTGCCTAATTCATAAAACATTCCAGCTTAAATGAAGGAGGACAAGAAAGATATGCAACAAGTTTTGTTCGATAATTCCCCATATATGCAGATATTTACTCATTAGAATTATTCCAGCTATTTCTCACAATATTAAAATTATTATCAGGTTCAAATGAATCCTGTGATATGATATAAAGTTTACTCAAGTAAATTTGCTGTATTTGATGTGCAATACTGTAAATTCAAGGCCATATTATGTTGTATTTGTTTCTCTTATTTTGTGTTTTGAGGCTGTGTCTCACTATGTAACATTTTGGCTTAGAATTCTCTATGTAGTACAGGCTGGCCTCAAACTTGACATCCTCATCTCTCACCTGAGTGCTGGAATTATGAGGTTGTGTCATCACACCTGGCTTCAGGAACTGTAATTCTATTGGATCTGTTTTAAGGTTTTTTTAAATAAAAATTGATCACTAGCTCTTTAGAATTTATACAAGAATTAGTTCATGTATTTTATTGTAAACATGTCAATTTTCCATGGTAGAGACTATGAAGATAGACCATGACAATACATCCTAACTCTAAAAAGGTAGGAATAATCCCAATCAATCATTTAATTATACTCAAGTATAAAAAAGGTTAATATATTGGTCCTAAAATATAAAACACACTAATTGGTAGTGTTGATATGATTTTAAGTATCCTATCTCTACATTTTTGAAAACTATATTAATAAATATATCATTGTTTTTATGAATATATTACCAATTACATAGATGTAGTGCATTTACTTTTCATCTATCTAATGATTTTAGTGCTGCCTTAAAAGTCGAAAATTTTGCATAAAACGTGTATCTTGAACAAGGCTCCTGATGATAACCACTTCATAATTACAGTTATGTTGGAAATCAGCAAAAGTGGTCAGAAAGCGACACAGACAGAATCTGCAAAGAAAACATAAAACATTGTAAACCATGTGCTGCAGTTTGTAATGGGCATGTTTGTGCCTTTTTTCAGACTCAAAATAGGGAAATTATACCTTAAACTAAGGGCCTCTGCTTATATTTTCTTTCTACATATAACCAGCTGATTTGTGAATCTTAAGCCAAGAACACTATCACTTTAATTTGATATTGTGATTTTTGAAAATGGCTATTACGAAACACATGTTTCCAACTGACCAAAAAAAATGATTCTTCTACCACCAGGAAACATTTACAGGATGTAGCAGGAAATAAACTTTGTATGGTATTGAGACACTAAACATCTACATTTACTTTTCAGAATAAAGTAGAAATTTTAAAGGAGCTTGTATTTTTATACTGTACTTTTGTATATGTAGTTAACAACAACTTTATACAAAAACACAATTCTGATGTGTTCTGTAACATTATAAATATATTTACAATGTATTTATTTTATAGTGTCGCAAGCATCATGCTGAGAATTAATCTGGGTCAAGGGGAAGCAAAACATTTTAAATGTTTGTTTGGACATTTGAACAAAGATAAACTTGAGGTATTTAAAAATATGCTGCAGTCTGTTGACAATGCAGACTCTTTTAAGTATGAGCTATGCACGTTGCAATTGCTAGAAATTTCAAGAGCTTACATGTAGGGGATTTTACAGATTCAAATTATTACTACCTCTCTTACACACAATATATAGTGGAATCTCCATCAATGACACAGACTCACAATTATGACTTCCAAGGTGCTTCTGGACTTATTGCTAATAAAACCAGGTCAGCCCGAGTTTGACTTGTCAAAAGCACAATTAATGAACCCAAAGTAAAATATGGGCCTTGAGTTACATTCATTTAAAATAGGGAACCCTCCACCAAGTTCTCTTGTTGAAGCATCACAGACCCCTGTGATCCTATATCCCCCATAGTTGAATTTTCCCAGTCGCCAAGGCAAATGAGACAAGAGGCCTGCTGCTCTGCTGTGTAAGGTTGCAGAAGTAGCAAAGACATGGAAGAGGGAAAGTGAGCTGTCTTATTTCTTTTGACAAGTAATACTATTTCATGGAGGGTCTTAATAAGTTATCCCTTGGGAGAGGGAGTAGAGGTTAACAGAGATTCTGTTATCATCCCCCCCCCCTCCCCCAACCCCCGCCACTAAACGTCACTACAGTGCCCTCTTCTTCCACACTAGCCCTGCGAATCGAGTTTCAGCACCATGGACAGTACCCTCGTCTGTGGCCCAGGGTTACTTACACCAATTCTTAGAATCTGAAATCCATTTCCCTTTGCTACCCAGCGAAGGTCACTTTCCTCTTTCTATTCAACAGGAAGATCTTGAACCTAATAACCGGCTTGGAGGTATTAAGCAACTTATAATTCATAGCATCAATGAATTCATCAAAGTAATTACATAAGGTCGCTGATTGAGTAACCTATCACTGCTAATCAATCACTAGATACCTAATGTCAACGTCTTAACTTTTGATGGGTCTTGAACCAAAGGCTATACAAACCTCTAAGGGCGGACAGAGAGCTTAGGGGGTGTAGATGCAAGATCAGATAGGCCCTGAGCGCCCGTCCGACGGACTGGACCAAAGGTATCCTTGGAATAATTCGTAAATGGTGTCGCTCTTCTACACAACCAGCCGCACTTCCTCTGCTTTTCCGGGGTGGCCAACTTCATGATGTCACTCTTGGAGGAGCCGGGAGTGAAGTCGGTCTCAAGACACAAGGCCAGGCTCCCCTGCCCGTATCCGCCCCGTCTGTGCCCCTGCCCGCCCTGTCTGAGCCCCTGTGCCCGCCAGCCTGCAGTCTCCTGCTCTCTCCTCACCCGCCAAGGAGCAAACCCTATCCCCAAAGAGCTGCCTCCGGGTTCCAGCCAACTGCACCCCTGGGAGGAAGCCCACTCTCCACGGAAAACAGAGGGGCTTCCCTCCTCTTCCAGGGTCCTGAGAGAGAGCCAGCGGCCCACCTGCCGTGCAGACCCCCCGGGGCTGCCCGTCCGAGAAACAACCACAAGAGCCAGAAGCCCAGAGCCCCCGTGAGTGGCTTAGGACCCACACCGACCACGCACGCAGAGAGGGGGAGGGGGACATAGCAGACGTGCGGGACAAGGGCGGAGGGAGGGGGGGCGGAGAGAAATCCCCACCGAGCCCCGGCTCCTACCTTACAGTCCTCAGGGCAGGACTTGACCGAGTACTCGTCCGACTGCAAGTACTTGTGCAGCACGCTTTCGAACTCCTCGTACTTCTCCTGAGCGTGGTGGTCGTAGTCTTGGTACGCCTGGACGCACTGCCGGCAGGCGGTGGTCTCCCCGCCCTCGGTGAGCGCCACGTCCAGGCTGCAGTTCAAGGTGTTGGGGCTGGACAGCCCGGAGAACAACTCCCAGAGTGTGTAGGAATTACAAAAGGAGAGGTAAAAATCCGACAGGTTCCAGCCGGGGGGCGGCGGCGGCTGCGCCCGGCCCGCACCCGCCGGGCCCCGGCTCCAGTTCCGGGCGCACACGGAGTCCGCGCTGTCCACGGTGAAGCACTGGCCCGAGCTGCCCGGCGGGTAGCACGACTCCAGGCGCCACACGGGCTTGGCCGAGTTCCCCGGGAACCCGGCCTGGCTCCGGCGGGTGCTCTTGCCTCGGTTGCCCTTGCCGCCGCCGCCGCCTCCGGGGGAGGGGGGCAGGGTGGGGGATGAGGAGGAGGAGGAGGAGGAGGAGGCGGCGGCGGCGGAGAGGAGTCTGTGTGCCGCCGCTGCCGCCGGGGCGCCGGGCGCGGACGCCCCCTCCATCCCCGCCAGAAGCGCGGGCCACGAGGGTTCCGGCTGCCCGGGCTGCTGCTGTTGCTGCTGCTGCTGCTGCTGCTGCCGGTGCTGCTGCTGCTGCCGGTGCTGCTGCTGCTGGTGGTGGTGCTGCTGCTGCCGGTGCTGCTGTTGCTGCTGCTGCTGCTGGTGCTGCTGCTGCTGCTCCTTGTCCCGGGCCCGGGTCAGCTTGGCCTCGGCACAGAACCACAAGTGATCAGACAGCAGGACCGTGAAAAACAAGAGGGACGCCAGCGAGAGTCGCCATTTCTGAGCCCGCTCCGAGTCGATGAACGGCTTCTCGTTCTCCCGGGGCGCAGCCAACCAGAGCTTCAAGCGGTCGTCATAATGCCGACACATCCAGGCACCCCTGGTCATATTTTGGGGAGGCACAGCCCGGGCCGGCTCCACCGGGGGGGCTCCGGGGCCGGGGAGGCCTCAAGATGCATGGACTTGGAGCTTGGAGTCCCTTCTCCCCTCCTCCCGGTCTCCTCTCTTTTTCCCCTCTCTCCTTTCTCTTTCTCTCTCTCTCTTTCCCCTCTCTTTCCCTCTCTCTCTCTCTCTCTTTCTCCCTCTTTCTCTTTCTCTCTCTCCTCTCTCTTTTGCCTACATAAATATTACCAGGCTTGGGAGGAAGATCTGAATTGATCCCGACCTAACCAACAGCCGACTCCATCCTCTGCACAGTGGGAACAATGATGGAGAAGAGAGAGAGAGAGAGAGAGAGAGAGAGTGGGGCCAGGGAGGCTGAGGCTGGCGCTGGCCGGCGGCGGCGCGGGGTGGGCGCAGGCGGGCTGCTAGGTGGCGC